CTATGAAATTACTTTATACATCATATGTTCGTTCTCATTTAGAATATGCGGTTGTTGTTTGGAGACCTAGTATCAGCTTTACAGTAATAGAATTGAACGTGTACAAAAAGTATTTCTGAAATTTGCCCTGCGCTTCCTAAGATTTCAGACCCCGATTCCATCGTATGAATCACGCTTATCGCTAATCAATTTAAAAACTTTAAATAACCGTAGGACAGTTCTATCTCTGTCTTTTACACACGGTATCATTAATGGACTTATTGATTGTCCCTACTTACTAAATAGGATTAGTTTCAATATTCCTCGGCGGACCCTTCGCAACTTTTACCCCTTCTACGGGGAGAATCAGAAAACCATCTTTGCGAGTAATGCTCCAATTGCGCGAGCTACACGGGATCTTAATCTCATTGCTAACTCGGTAGCTCTTGACTTCTCATTGTCGAAGGGCTCTTTTTTAAATCTTTTGTATACCATTTTCTAGTAAATTTTTCCCATTTTTATTTCTTTTTTATTTATACATATGTAAGTTATTTGCTAATCTGTAAGAACTTTGTATGTTCATAGGCAATAAATAAATAAATAAAGTAAATAAAACAAAATAAAAAAATATTTTGTTTTTCCTATTGATATTTTATGTCCAAAAGTAGTTAGCTTCAAGTTAATGCAGAGGTAACCACCCTTGACTACATCTAATGCAGTGGTAAACCACCCTTGACTATTTCGCGGCCATCGCCATAGAAATATAATTAGTTTTCGTCAAAGAAAATATACAGATAATAAGTGACTTTTAGCTCCTTCCTAATCAACTTAAATATAGCTTACAGTTAGATACGTTTCCTGTAGGGTACCTATAGCAGGGCTGGCGAACCTAAGGCACGCGTGCCATTGANTCCTTGACTATTTTGCGGCCATCGCCATAGAAATATAATTAGTTTTCATCAAAGAAAATATACANTCAAGTTAATGCAGAGGTAACCACCCTTGACTACATCTAATGCAGTGGTAAACCATCCTTGACTATTTTGCGGCCATCGCCATAGAAATATAATTAGTTTTCATCAAAGAAAATATACAGATAATAAGTGACTTTTAGCTCCTTCCTAATCAACTTAAATATAGCTTACAGTTAGATACGTTTCCTGTAGGGTACCTATAGCAGGGCTGGCGAACCTAAGGCACGCGTGCCATTGATGGCACGCAGCAAACTAATTTGGGCACGGTATTAATTGAGGACCCAATGCCTCAATTACTAGTAGTGGTATTTACTACCTAATCGACACGATTTCTCTTTTTCGTATAAATTGGAGATCAAAGATCTACTCATACCCAAGAAAACAGGTTAAAAGAGGCGAAAATGCAGACAGTAAGCAACAAAATCCACATCAGAAATTCGACTCCTGACTTCTATTGCATCATTCATCAATGAGCTTTGCGCGCAAAGCATGGCTTCGTCTCCCTTGGTGATATAATGGGCGTAGTTCTCAAAAATAATGAACCTCGAAGGTTTGAGGCTTATACGTGGCTTGCAAAATTGGATAATTATATTGCATAGATCTCATTCGCGCTTTTTAGGCTAAACTGAAAGTTATTGGTAAAGATATTGAGGCATATTCATAGTCGAAATAAAGTCTACTCTAAATTTAGTAGCAGCTTTATTGGCAGAGATTACATTGATAATTATGTCAAAAAGCTGCAACTAACTTTAATTTCGCCTTTATTTAGACTATGTATACGCCCCATTGTTTTCAAAAATTGCAAATGTTTGCAAACTTAACAAATATAAAATCAGATTTGAATTTAGATGAAAGACAGATTAAGTCTTTAAAGAGTTTTCTTTCGAAATTAATTCTCTCATCGACTAATTTTCATAGAGGTTTTTTGAATTCATGGAGTTATCGGAAACACTCAAATTTACTATGTATCCTGATGTGATTTCACTTGACAAACTGACCTTGTTTAAATTTGCTAATACTAAGATTTTAGAAACTTGGAATTTAATTCCAGACATTCAAGGCAGAAGCTGGCATTTTCACGCAAGGTACATAGACACATTTCATTCGTTTTTTTTTTTACGATTTAAGTGTCAACCAATGTCTCCAAGAACGGTGATAAGTCATGACTTCTTTTTGGCACGTCATAGCTACATTGAAAAATCCTTTGGAAATACAGTATATTTTGCTTAGCTGCCCATTCTTCTTTGCATGANATAAGTCATGACTTCTTTTTGGCACGTCATAGCTACATTGAAAAATTCTTTGGAAATACAGTATATTTTGCTTAGCTGCCCATTCTTCTTTGCATGAAAACTTGTACGCTTAACCGAAAAAAGCACTTAAACAAATTCTCTTTACTACTTCAATGAGGAAGGATCCAAATCCCTATGAAACGAAGTAATGGAAGACCACTTGCCACGTAGAAATAACTGGAAGCGAAATTTTTTACGAATGGTATCTAATATAATGGTATCTACATAAAGTGATATCTGTTTTCGTTGTTCTGGGAGATGAGCAAAACAAATAAAAAAATTGTAAAATTAGGGTAAGTATAGAGCCAGGCAGGTAACGTAATACTTTCTTTGATAATTGATAATAATTACAAATTTTTAAGGCAGATACCGCTAATTTGCAAGTATGTTGAATGCATCTATCGGTGCAGTTTCCTTATAAATGTTAAAAATATACACACTGTATCAAATCCGCCTCTGTTGCAGATACAAATTCAACCTCACCATCATCAGCATGTTCTCGCTTTAGCAGGTATGTCGGGCAGTTAGATGCTAGAAAGTTGGCATTTAATATTTCTGGGTTCAGACAACACACGCACTTGTCCTCACCTGAGACTTTCAGGAATTTAAGATTTTTCCAAATGGCCTTTGAAGGTAAACTTTCATTAAGCTTACATTGAAGGTATAACTTTTTGGCTTCTCTGGCGCTTGAAGTTACTTTATTTCTTGCAACACGACATTTTTCCCACGATTGAGTACTTCTATCATTTGACCAATTCTTATATGCTTTACTACGCTTCCTAATTAAAGGCAAAACGTCCGACGTAAACCATGGTTTCTTATTACTATGCATTTTCACTTTACACACTGGATGGTTGACTAGTGCATTGAAATGTTGCAACTGTTGTGAATGACCAACACATATTCCAGCTAAGCCCAGCAGCCTCCTTATTTAAGAGATCACGCTTAAAATCTCTAAAAAAAAACAACTCTTTGCTTGATTTTGCCTATTGAAATTAATGTGTATTTAGCCTCATCCTTGCAAGGGCTTAACACTCGCACAGAAGGTGTTCGACTATCTCTTTTGAGCCAGAGTCATCTCAACACTGCAGTAAGTTAGTAGGTATCTTTGTTCATTCCTAAGAGAGCTTTGGTCTAAGTGCGTCGTAGGACACCCAGAACTGCCTGGTAATCCTGTACGAGCCTTTACGAGTGGAAATTTTAGGCAATGACATGAAATTTTCGATACGATTCGACTCTCGAAAAACGTCTTGTATTCGACACAACACTCGCAATGAGGCTGAATATTTTATATTTATTTATGCATTTATTTAATGTCTTCTAACAAATCAGAACAGACATTTAGGAAATTAATACTTAACAACAGCAGTTAGAGTGAATAATAAAAAATATAAATAAAAATACAGCTAGTACAATTGAAATTATGTAGATACTAACAAAAGAAATATTTTAATTGTTAATTGAAATTCGCAAATCTGTACTAAAATAAATTATTAATAATAAAAGGCAATAATATTAAAACATGTGTGATGTATTATTTTGGGTTTTTACATAGAAAATTATTTTTTAGTTGCGTTTGAAATAAATGTTTGGTACCCGAGAAGTTCAAATCTATAAAGTTAGAGAGATAATTAAACTCAGACAACGTCTCTGTCACTTAATGGAAAAATACCGATCAGTCGACAATATTCAATATTCTCCAAATTACAGTATAAAATAACATGCTTTTTAAAATGATCAACCGAAAATGATGTAGTTGGCCAACATTTCAAGAAACTTAATTCCGCTGGGAAGTAAGTAATATATCTCTAATATCAGCCATTGTGGCATAGCTAAGGTTTCTGGCCAAAATACTTTAAGTTTATATATATATATATATATTTGTGTTCAACAACTGGCAATGCTCTTTCACAGTTGCCACAGTTTCCAAACTGTTTTAATGTCAAACCTTTTGTATGAATCTACCGTCAAAGTACCAAAATTTGCCTTAATGAACGCCAAGTCTGTTCGGATTTCTTCAAGCTGTAGCAGTATGTATGTATACTTGCATTGTATCAAGGCGAATTCATATAAGGTGGTAGCAGGTTTATTAAAAACATATGTATGAATGCGCCTTGTTTCCCGAATCTATTGTCTCATTTTCGCCGAAAATATATGAAATGTTGCCAAATATGCACGTAAGTGGAATATATGCAAAAACCAACAAAATTGAAAAAATATGCAAAATAAGCTTTTTCAAGCATATGCATCTTTATCTCGCTAGGTGGAAACTGGGTCGAGATATTTTGAAAACCCCGTTTTTATGGTCCGATTTGGTTCAAAATTAGCGTTTGTAGTTGAAACATGATAAGTCATAATTTCCAAAGAATTTACCTTGAATTGGTGCTGAAGTCAAAATATAAAGTATATTCGATATAACATTCAAAATAAAAAAGGTTTAACATTAGATTTTTTCAGTTTGATATGTTCAATGGTCACGTTCGACATAATGGAAATGCCCATATACACATTTCGCTTAGCCTTCTGTAGCACCACCTTGAAAAACCCCACCCTCTAATATAAAGTCAAGGTAATTTTGTTATATCCGATCGTACTATTTGTCCTGAGCTCTCCATTACTTACGCTATAATATACCGTTGCATTCATTTCGAGATATTAGATCGGCAGCTAACTTTTATGAAAGCACTAATACATACATACTTTATCAAAACGTGTAGACGGTACTAGAATTACATAGAATTAAAATAAGACTTACTTGTTTCTTGTGTCGCTCTCCAAAAGTTGGAGTTTGTAGTAAGAATTTTTATTGCGTTGAATATCTGTTAAGCCGAGAACGATATTATATTTGTCCTTGTTATCCAAATAAACATGGGCAATGTCTTGCAGTCCACTTTCTGGATCAACAGCCAATCCGTCTTTTATTTTCAAAGTCATTGACTTTGCGACGGATTTCGTATAAATACTTTTTGACTTCTTAGGATTANGCTTGGCCTTCTGTAGCACCACCTTGAAAAACCCCACCCTCTAATATAAAGTCAANATAATGGAAATGCCCATATACACATTTCGCTTAGCCTTCTGTAGCACCACCTTGAAAAACCCCACCCTCTAATATAAAGTCAAGGTAATTTTGTTATATCCGATCGTACTATTTGTCCTGAGCTCTCCATTACTTACGCTATAATATACCGTTGCATTCATTTCGAGATATTAGATCGGCAGCTGACTTTTATGAAAGCACTAATACATACATACTTTATCAAAACGTGTAGACGGTACTAGAATTACATAGAATTAAAATAAGACTTACTTGTTTCTTGTGTCGCTCTCCAAAAGTTGGAGTTTGTAGTAAGAATTTTTATTGCGTTGAATATCTGTTAAGCCGAGAACGATATTATATTTGTCCTTGTTATCCAAATAAACATGGGCAATGTCTTGCAGTCCACTTTCTGGATCAACAGCCAATCCGTCTTTTATTTTCAAAGTCATTGACTTTGCGACGGATTTCGTATAAATACTTTTTGACTTCTTAGGATTATCGTCCCCTTGTGAAATACGCGAGTTGGGATCAGTACCCCAATCACAAAGGGTGGTACTGCTAATATAATTAATTACATTGGCAGAACTACCTTCAACCAAATCTAAGTAATCTATAGGTATCACATGGATTCCAAGCTCTTTCGCCCGTTTCATGCGACTTCCCATACGTTTTACTTCCGCGATTGTTGAAAAAACTGCAGCAGTATGTTCGGTTATATTTGATGTAATATCGCCGCCAAGTTTATTCACACGCATTTTTAGATCTTTTTCGCAATTTTTCTGGCCAATATATGCAAATTTAAAATTATAAAGAGGCGGCCGCTGTCGTTTAACTTTCGGTCTGAAATAATAACAGAGAATAAGCATGTCATAAATTAAAACAAATGAACGTATTTTTATAAAGCAACTCTTTGCATTTTAGTAAAGGGAATGTATGTATTACTTAACTACGAAAAATATATGAAAAAGCGGGATTTTTGTATGGATCTCCACTTTGCGGTTCCAAACATACCAATCCAATGTTACGCAGGGTCAAAGATCACAAAAAACGTTTTTCGCAAAAATCTTATTAACGGTTACTATTTTGTCTTGACTGTACAAATGTCTTTATTCAACGGAATCCAAAATACCCTTAATGGGGAAGGTGCCTCTGCCCGGCTGGTTGAAGTCCTCGGGAAGACAAAGGCGGACATCATCGCCAGCCAAGAAATGTGATGGACGGCGCAAGGAAAAGTAAGTGTGAAGCCTTACGACGTCTACTACAGTTGCCACGNTCGCCAGCCAAGAAATGTGATGGACGGGGCAAGGAAAAGTAAGTGTGAAGCCTTACGACGTCTACTACAGTTGCCACGTAAAGGAGCACAAATTCGGTGTTGGTAGGAGAGAGACTCCGTCGCCGAGTACTGGCAATCCCCCCGTGGACGAACGTCCAAAGATCTCTTCTATGAGCGCTCGGAGCGTACATACGAGCGCTGCCCCCGCCACGATGTCAAAATCGTGCTCGGCGATATATATGCTAAGGTGGGCAAGGAAGGGATCTTTAGCGCCACTGTCGGAAAATTCAGCCTCCACGACGAAATGTCCGATAACGGACTGAGGCTGTTCGACTTCGCCGGGGCCTGAAACATGGTAAGATGTAGTACTGGGTTCCAGCATAAGAACATCCACCAAGCTACATGGTTGTCTCCAGATCAAAAAACGAGAAACCAAATCGACCATGTTGTGATAAACGCATACCTTATGCTTCCAGCGTTTTAGACGTGCGTGCACTCCACCAAACATCACTATATTGTTGCAGCCAAGATACGCAAGCGCCTCTGTGCAGCAAAAAATATGCGCCCAACAATGCAAGGAAAGCTTAACGCCGAAAAGCTGCAATNTGTTGTGATAAACGCATACCTTATGCTTCCAGCGTTTTAGACGTGCGTACACTCCACCAAACATCACTATATTGTTGCAGCCAAGATACGCAAGCGCCTCTGTGCAGCAAAAAATATGCGCCCAACAATGCAAGGAAAGCTTAACGCCGAAAAGCTGCAATCACAATAGACGGCTTATTTATTGGCCACTCGACTCACACACGTGCTCTCTAAGAGCACTCTTCAACAATCCGACGTACGCGAGCAGTGGAACAACATTTCCCGATCATTAAGTACCGCCGCCGAAGAAGTTGGATTTCAGCGAGCCCGAAAAAACAACTGGTACGATGAGGAATGTCAAGAAGCCTCAGAGAAAAAAGACGCCGCCTATAGGGCCACGCTGCACAGTGTTTCGACTATATGGAGGCAGGTTGAACAAAGTCATGGTGGCAGTTGCTAAAAAAAAACCGGTTTGACTTAGAGAGGGAATAGTAAAAGTCATAAGTACCACCTTCTTCACGAACGATACATTTCCAAAAAAATACGGGAATGGGCGCGATACCGACTAATCAGTTTAGTTGCATTTGGCGCTGAACCTATTAAAGAAAGTGTTTCTTTTTCAATTGTAATTATCTAAATGTCGTGGAATATTTAGGTGAAGGTATTTATTATTTATTTGGTATTTTCCTATTTTCTTACCAAAAAATTTACTTTGAAATGTAGATGCTAAAGATTATTAGTAAAAAAAAGTGTGAGTACCGGTCCGTCAGGTCTTGAAATTAGACTAATATTTTAGAGAATTTTATGTAGTGTTCGAATATATAATTTGATCTTTGCGCGCGACTTTGCAAATATATCTAATTTTTGATTTTCAGCTTCTTTTTGCATAATTTAGCGAAAAGAATTTCTCAAACAATGAAAAAATCCCACCAGATATTGGGAAAAAAGCGAGTATTGACACCTAAGTCATTTTATTGTATAACCTTTGTTTTCTGAGAGTGGAAAGCAGGAAACAAAAATTACCCAAAATTCCATCACATTTAATGACTGGGCCCACATTTTTTGTGAGTTTTGAACGTTATAGTAATCCAATCTTCCCCATATTTTATATTTTTTCTAATAAAATAAAGACTACAAACTAAATTTCATCGAAATCGGATGAAATTTAATGTTTCCGCCCACAAGAGTAGAGGGCGTGGCAATTATTCCATCTTTACAAAATTTCATAATTCTCTATTTCTAAGTAAAACTAGACCACATGTCAAGTTTCAGTGAAATCGGTGCAGGTGTACTATTATTTCCATCTGCCTCCATAAAGTCGAAACACTGTGCGCTGAGATCGGGCGCAACGCGAGCCATGTGGGACCGTTATATGGAACTGAAGAAGGAAGCGAGACGTATTTGCCGCAATAAGGAGATGCCGAAATACGTGAGTGCGAAGAGATTGAGATGCTGGCCGACATGAAAAATGCCCGAAAATTTTACCAGATGGTTAGGCGACTTACGGAAGGTTTCAAGACCAGGGCGAAGAATGGCGACCTAGTGACCTAGTGGAGTCGATGTTCCACCGCCTGACTATGACGAGGTACGAATAGCGATAGCGCGCTTGAAAAACAACAAAGCTGCTGGAGCTGACAGCCTGCCAGCTGAGCTATTCAAGTACGGCGGCGAGGAGTTGATAAGGTGCATGCATTTATGCAAAATATGGTCAGATGAACACATGGCCGACGACTGGAATTTAAGTGTGCTCTACCCAACCCACAAGAAAGGAGATCCCGCCATTCACGCCAACTACCGCGGTATCAGCCTTCTAAGCATAGGTTATAAGGAATTATCGAGTGTATTGTGCGAAAGATTGAACCCCACCGTCAATTCACAATACGCCAAATCTTGGAAAGGCCCGCGAGATAGGATTGACACACACCATCTATTTGTCGATTTCTGAATTTGGTATCCCCGCGAAACTAATACGGCTGTGTAAAATGACGTTGAGCAACAGAACTGAACCGCTCAGGCACAATACTTTACAAGAGCGTACAATTGCTGGCGTATGCCGACGACATCGATATTATAGGTAAAAACACGGGGTACGTCTGTTCTGCCTTCTCGGGATTGGATAGAGAAGCGAAGCGAATGGGTCTGGTTGTGAACGAGGACAAAACGAAGTATCTCCTGTCATCACACAAACAGTCAGAGCATACGCGTCTTGGCCAGTGTTGACAGTTACAAGTTTGAAAAACTAGACGACTTCGTTTATTTGGGATTCAGCTTTAACACCAATAATGATGTCTTGAAATCCAACGGAGAATCACTCTACTTTGGACCGAGTAGGCAATTGAGAAGTAAAGTCCTCTCTCGTCGTTCACACTCTATAAGTCACTCACCATGCCTGTGCTGGTGTATGGCGCGGACAAAGAAAACATCTGAAGCGGCTCTTGGAGTTTTCGAGAGAAAGATTCTGCGAAAGATTCACGGACCNTTCAGCTTTAACACCAATAATGATGTCTTGAAATCCAACGGAGAATCACTCTACTTTGGACCGAGTAGGCAATTGAGAAGTAAAGTCCTCTCTCGTAGATCACACTCTATAAGTCACTCACCATGCCTGTGCTGGTGTATGGCGCATGGCGCGGAAGCNAGAAGTAAAGTCCTCTCTCGTAGATCACACTCTATAAGTCACTCACCATGCCTGTGCTGGTGTATGGCGCGGACAAAGAAAACATCTGAAGCGGCTCTTGGAGTTTTCGAGAGAAAGATTCTGCGAAAGATTCACGGACCTTTACGCGTTGGCGATGGCGAATACCGCAGACGATTTAACGATGAGCCGTATGAGCTTTACAATGATAGACATAGTGCAGCGAATTAAAATTCAGCAGCTCCGCTGGCGTGGCCATGTCGTTCAAATGGACAGAAACGCTCCTGCTCTGAAAGTATTCAACGCGGGCCGCGATTCTGGTAACAGAGGAAGAGGAAGGCCTCCTCAGCGTTGGGAATATGGTAGAGAAGGACTTGGCTTCACTTGGCATTTCCAATTGGCGACAGTTATCACAGAAGAGAAATGAGTTGTATAAACCGAGTTATGTATGAATACGGGTGCGTTCAGAAATGCATCAAGCCAAAGCAATCACAGTCTTTTATTTCTAAACTATAATTGACTTTCAACAGTGGTTGCGCATATTTGACAGTTCCATCAATTATAGTTTAGAAATAAAAGAGACTGATGCTTTGGCTTGATGAATTTCTGAACGCGCCCTACATATTTATGTATGCTGGCCTACGGCCAATAAAAAAAAAAAATATCCAAACAAGCAACAAAATTCAATTCGTTTTGTTTACAGATCTTCATTACGTTCCAAGGCTACGATTCCGCTGGGGCCTACTGTCTCTAATCCACCATCGAACACAGAGCAATTTGTAGAATCGGACGGTGACGATGAATTAGACCCAGCCGCCAAAGGCACAAAAGTAGCTTCGGAGCCATACATATATAACTACGCAAGTTCACCGAGAAAGGCAAGAGCAACCGCCACAGCAGCGGTTGCAAGACACGGCAGCAACAACAACCGCCACAGCAGCGGATTGTATGGCATATCGGTATCAATGACAATATGGCCATCCCTAACACGATAGCATATTCTACGACGCAAATGGGCGACGAATATAAATTCGCTGGCAACCCTCTTTCTCTGAAAGTTTTCAACGCGGGCCGCGATTCTGGTAACAGAGGAAGAGGAAGGCCTCCTCAGCGTTGGAAAGACGGTAGAGAAGGACTTGGCTTCACTTGGCATTTCCAATTGGCGTCAGTTAGCACAGAAGAGAAATGACTGGCGTGCACTTTTGGACTCGGCCAAAATCGCTTAGGCGGTTACAACGCCAATAAATAAGAAGAAGAAGGAATGGGCGACGAGTACAAGTTCGCTGGCAACCCCATAGTCGGCCACTTGTTCTTAGACTCGATATCCGGAACGGCCGGAAAGTGAAC